GCGAAAACAGAGCCATTTTGGGCTGTTTTGGGGCTGTTTTGCTCGGTTCGGTGAGCGGTCGCTTTGCAACACTGCAGCTTGTTCGAACTTACATATTTACAAGCAAAATGACCCAAAACCATGAGAAAACATGCTGTCGGGCAGCTGTACATGCGGGTGTGAGCGACGAACGGTTCGTTGAACGGAGTTGTTGCGGGTGCGCGACGACCGTTCGTGACAGTACTGCTCAGCACTATAGGGCATTCTTCATGCAGAAAATCTCAGCAACCTTCTTCACTCTCATTTAAACTCTTTTATCGCCAAAGTTCATCTCTACACTATACTTTGATTATACATCATTCTTAAACATCATGAAGATATATTGACTTCAATAATTCTTCACTACAAGCAAACTTAATAAAATTGACTAAATAACACATATTAAAGTTTACTGCTGAATTGGCATCAATATTATGGACTAAAAAAAGACTTCAATATTAATGTTACACTCAGAAAGCTCTGCCCATACATGTATTGCTTCTACGATGGGAAATTATTTCAGATAACATAGACATCTCCATAGGAGATTTAAAGATTCCCCTTGTAGGTTTTGAAATCATTAAAACTGATGATAGACAGGAGACCTAACAAGACTATTATCGAGAATAAAAAGATATCTGAAGGCTCTTAATCTGACTAGTTATACAGCCCTAAAGATAGTTTCATAGCAGAAATCACGTATCCAATGCCAAAAAGTTGGGATATCACTGTTTGATTTTCTTATTCTTGTTATAATGTCATCCACTATTGCAAAGACAAAGAGATAAGTAACACAGAGAAGACAAGGATCGAGAACAACCTTTGATTTTGAAACGAGATAAGGATGTTATCACAGAGGGACAAAACCATGATATCTGGAATTAATTCTAAATCCCATGCACATTCTTTTCAAATAATTCTTTTTTTCTTTTACTTGTTTTGTATTACTAAACATTTCATCTCATGGTGATCAAAGAAGCACAGGATTATACTGGGGCTTCTTGTCATCCTCAAAGCTACAGATGGATAAGTTTTAGAATTTTTTTTTATCTAATACACAATAGTCATCTGATCAACCATATCTTTGTACAACATGATTAACACATGTTTTGCAATAACAATATCAGCTATTTTTCAACACTGTTATTGCTTAGAAAATCAGCAGCATATTATCAGTTACAACAATGTCAAAGATACACGTACAAAGCAAAAGTGAAAATTCACATCTATACATGGATTCACAAATGAAACAAAAGCAGAAACGAAGAACAAAGATAAGTGACGAAAGTTGCTTCATGTCATATATAGAAGTTTCCATGTAATGCTTTCTGCAGCAAAAGCCAACTAAAGAAAACTTCAAGAACATATCAATCATTCAATTATTGCAATTGTTAATGCTTTAATGCTGTCCAGTAACAAAAGAGAAACATGAAAATTCAACATCATATTCTTCTAGATAACATGAATAGATTTTCATACGTAGCAAACTAATAGAATTCTTCTGGAACTTACTTGTGTAAAAGAAGAAAAACACCGCACAAGATAAATGTGCCTGTCACTAGAATCCACCCAACAACCACTAAGCTGTGCACATTATCAGCAGAGAAGCAGATTAGAAATTTTGAGTGTGGAATCAGAAAATATTGATGAAGAGCATCAAAATAAATTAGAAGAAAAGATATGAACAAGAAACAAGTGGCTGATTGTCAAATCAGTTCACATACACGTAGACAAGGAACTGCAATCCAAGTATAGAGAGCACTGCAAGATTAACAAACTAAAATTAGCAAGTTAGTAAAACTAAGCTCTTAGGATTTTGCTTCAAGATATGAAACTCACAGAACCCAACGAATGCCAAAAGCAGCATCACTGCAGCAATTATGATCAAATCCAGTCTCCTGCAGGCCACACAAATACAACTAAGTCAAATGGTATCATAAAAAGATCCACAATTGTAGTCTCTTCCAACTACAAGCTCCGCATAATGAGAAGAATGGAATTTCAACACAAGGGCCAATTGTCATACACTCTATCTAGCACACGCCTAATCTTCCTGGAATTGTCCAATGTCCGATTGGCAAGCTCAGTTGCTGAAGAGTTGACCTTTGTTTTGAGGCTATCGATTTCACTCTGGACATCAGCTGGGAGGAATACCTGGTCCACCGTGATCTTCTTAGCTTCAGCCAGACTTTCTGAGAAGTTCCTGAGGTTGTCTACCGTGAAGTTTGCCTGACCCACGACATAGTCCACAGTTTTCGAAGTGCTGGTGTGGAACTTTCCCTGACTGGTGTACAGAACAATGCATCCAATGCTGGAAACATTTCGCAATTCACTTTAAGAACTTCCACGTCATGAGAAACTAATATTATAAAAGGAAATTGGAAAGCTAGGAAAAAATATAGTCTTCCTACATTGCAGCACAGGTGAATAGAATGAGCAGAACAAGAGAGAGCGCATAGGCTGTGCGGGAATATGAGTAACTTCGGCGGCGGCAACAGAAGTAATAGCAACAGCTAAATAACAAGACCAGCCCAAAAACCAGGAACCACACAAAGGCAATGGCGAACAGGGGGACAGCCGTAAAACCAACAGACTGCAATCAAATATAAGGAATTATAAGTTGCAGCTATCATCAAACATCGGGACAAACGAGGGATAAGGGGAAACGAAAAGCTTACAGCCCAGTAGTGTTGCTCACTGATGTTCCAACCACCAGTGTAACGCTTGAATCCATTCAAAGGATCTTTCCTGTGTGTCCTATCCGCAGCCAGGATGAAAGAGCTGTTATCCACGGTAAGATTGCCGGTAGGTGGCACCTCAGCAGCATACCTCCTCGGTAGAACATACCCATCTCGCAGCCCTCCACCTACGGCAAATCGCCCACATTTTATAACACAACAAAACAGGGCAGATCTCGTACTGAGATCTTAAACGCTCATACAAAGGGGAAAAAAAATCGATCTACAAAGCACGTAAAGATGTTTTCCTATACCATTAAAAGTACCCAATTCGCTAAATAGAACACACAAAATAGATTATTTTGCTGATATTTTAAAGACTAACGTGAAAGAGAATAAAAATCTACCCCAGAAGAACAAAAAAAAATTCCTTTTTTTATTTGGCAGAAAGAGGAGGATTGTGCAGAAGATAACCATTATTTCAGTAAAAGAACGACGTTTCCCGAATAATGAACACATAAATATCAAAAACTTGTCTTTAAGAACAGCTGGTATTCCTGCGAAAAGATAGAGCACTCGGCTGGAGACCAAGATTATAGAGAAAATAATACCTGGTAACGGCGTTTTCTGGATCTCAGAATAAGCGTGGGAGACCGAGAAGGGAAGGCAAAGGACAAGCATGAGAGGAAGAAGGAAGAGGGAAGCTGGAAATCCAGGGAATGCCATGCTCATCGGAGCTGGGTTACTCGGTTCCAGGGTGCGCCAAGATGACGCTTTCCCGAAAGCAGAGGCTTCAGAATCGCACGAAAACAGACGTTTTGGGGACGATAGAGGAGACGTCGTGGTGCTTCCTCACGAGCGCATTGAGCCGAACTGCGTAGGTTTATCGTCCTGGGGTTCTTCTTGCCCTTTTCTGTGCTTCTTTTGAGGGAGGGGAGGGTGGTGGGAATCGGATAGGGAGCAGTGTCTCTCGCCTTTGCTTTGCTTGGCTTCCCCTTTAACTACGGAAAGCCCCCAACAAATTGAGAGCGCCTTCTTCACGTATCTGCCACCAAAAGGTTCACAAAATATAATATGTGCCACCGCATTCTTGCTTGTATCGATCCTATACGTCAAATATGACATCTCCTTACAAGTGTGTGATCGAAATATACTGTTAAGCAAAGATTAATAGATTGTACTATTGGGGGTTGATTGGAGCACAACCTCATGAGGTGTAGGATTGGAATATTATGTTATCTAACTATGATAGTTCAAATGTTACATTAATATTTATTTGAAGGATGATTTCATAAGGGGGTGGTATTGAAGATAATTGAAGGGTTCTACAAATACGTGAATTTGATGATATCTTGAACACGGTTAAGCTAATATTATAAATAAAGTTATTTAGGCATGTATGTAAAAGAAATATAGGAGAAAGCCTTTCTCTATGTATATGTGAAAAATGTGATGATAAATATTGCAGTTTGAAGGTTCTAAATACTGGGATTTGTTATTATTAAAATATCCTTACAGATTTGGTTGTATAAAGGCTCATATATAATATATATATAAATGAGAGATCTTTTCGTGTCATATCATATTTCTACTTTTTTTTATGAAATTTTAATATGTGTGATAATTTTTTTTACTATATATTGTTATAATAAACAATAACAAAATCATGAATTGTTCACTGACACTATATATATATACATATACATATATATATATATACATATATATTTATATGTGTATATATATATATTTGTATATATATATATGTATATATGTATATATATATGTATATATATATATATACATACATATATATATGTATGTATATATGTATATATATATATATACATATATATGTATATATGTATATATGTATATATATATACATATATATGTATATATGTATATATATGTATATATACATATATATATATACATATATACATATATATATATAGTAGGATAATTATAAAATACATGTTAGGTAATTTTAGTTGTTATTGATCAGTGAGCAGACTTGAGTCATTGTTTATTAATTAATAATATATATATATGTATTTTTATAAATATTATATAAAAATTAGAATCAGGGTTATTTGCGTCCAAAAGGATGGTAAACTCATTAATTAGTTGATAAGAGATAATTTTGGATTTACCAAAATAACCAGTGGGAGTAATATATAAAGGTCAAAATATAATTCCTAAAATTAGTGACATCAGGATGTAAATAATGGTGGCGAAGAAATCGATTAAAAAGAATACTTCAACAAAAAGGTATCAATGACCTTTCAATTACGTAAAAGAAATGTAAATGAGCCATCAAACCTTGATGATCACAGTGATAAGAACTTTTGACCCACTCAAGCTCGACCATAACATGGCATGAGTTCAGTACAAATATGTCTGTGTTAAGACCCCTTCTCCTGCGTGGTCCACATTGCAACTCTACTGTTATATACAGATACATATATACGTATGTATGTATATATATATATACATACGATTGATTCTGACTAAAGACTCGTAATAAAATCTACCATTCAATCGATTCTTTATGGTAGCAGAATTCATGAACCTACTAACTCGACCAAAAAAAAGAGAAGAGAACGACTGCATGTTCATCCCAGTGCAACGAGGGAAAGCTAAAACTGCGAACGACGTGGGATCCGCTGTAGGCTTTAGCATATGTCGTTCCGTTTGCTTCGTGACCACCATTGGAAAATTTGGGGCCCGCAATAGCCACCAATAAAAGTTACCAACTGTTGGTGTTATATTTGCGGTGGGCGCAGCGGATCCGGACGTGGAAACTAAACGAATCCGATGCCAGGGAAAGAACCCTTCCCGGTGGACCCCACTCACTAGTGGGCTCGCTTTTTTTGCCGTCACGCAACTCGTGGTAGGTGAAAAGGGTCGAAGTTGATCGGGTAGCCGAGCGGGAGCAGCCGACACGTCGAAAAGGAGAGAGCGAAGCCAAAACGCGTGAAACATGTAATGGGGATCGAACGACGCGTGTTTCCGACAGGACACGTGGTGGATGTTCATGGACTTTGTACGTTTCCTCTCAACGTCGACGAATAGTCACATCATGAAGTAACTTTCCGTCACGAATTACTTTGTAAGATTCGATGCTGTACCCCACTTTTTGACTGGTCATCACTTAGGGCTCCACCTATCTTTCCAATGATGATAGAGGTAGATTAAAGGGCGATTCCAATTATCTCATCTTCTTTTTTTTTATCTCGGGACCTTTTACATGTGTTGGTTCTTCAACTAAGATTAAAATTGATTATAACAAATAATATAATTTATTAATTTTACATTTTTTGTATTCATGTGTAACTTTATATTTATTGATATTATTTTGTATTTGTATAATGTCGTATTATTTTTATTTTGTTCCCAAGTCGGTGTTGGTTTAACCCTCACAAGAAATCACACGTGTGCTCTTCCTACGTGCCAAAATTATGATCATGTATGCAAGCAATTTAGAGTAGAAAACTTCATCTGACTGGATCCCTCATTTCAATGACCGATTCATTCGATCATGAGTCCATTTGTAGCGGCATCGCTATAAAAAACAGGATTAAGTTCACCATAGAAATTTATCATATCACTATAATTAATATTAATTACTGTTGATTCGAAGCTCCCATCTTAAAATTAATCAAACGAATCTTATTGAGTACCCATCTAATATCGATATTAGTATTAGAACCAAACTAAACATGTAGTATAGCTTTTGATTTCATATGCAGATGATCTTTATGACTCCATCAAAAGGCCTGATGCGTGTGTGAGATCCGCCCAAATTCGAATTGGTCCAATGCGATCCACTTAAATATAAAATCTTCGTTTGTTGCTTTTCTAATCCTCAATAAATATAAGTCAAGATCGAGTCTAATGGATTACCTAACCAATCAATTTCACTTGATCCAAATTATTAATCAAAATATCTAAACGAAAATTAATAATAATATATTCATCGGATCTTTATAAATTAATCTTAATTTTATATATTTTCGATATGAAATTAATTAGGATATTACATTTTAACTCTATAAAATTATGTTTACATAATAACCATCCGCTAATTTCATGCCGCTATTTAGGGCTTTTAATTTGCAGTCAAAGTCAAAGTGGTTGAGTGACAAAGATCTTTGGGTTTTGAAAACATTAGTAGTAGAGATAATAAAATGAGGAAACGACACGCACGAGTGCACCTCCCCAAGTTTTCCAGCTGTGCTGGTTTGCTGCTCCAAATTGTATGGCCATCATAGACAGGTCAAATTAGGCTCAGTCGTCACTGCAGCCGCATATAGTATTTTGGAGATGACAAGTAACTCCCAGCTCTGATCTCGAGATGGTTGGACATGCATGCCTCTCTGACAAGCTGGCACTGATGAGATCAAACTTCATTTGAACATTAAGGTGAGGAGCAGTACTCTATTATATGTCTTTACCTGAACACATAATTGCCATTAACTATATGAGTTACGTGATCTTTTTGTCCTTGTATTTGGACGCTCTAATTCTTCTACTGGCTTTCACTTGTAAAGTTATACTGAATATATATAAACACATCTATATTTAATGACTGTGAGCTGTTCAGATATAAGATATAGTGTTTTTTTTCTTTGTTATTTTGGTTGAATAAAAGAAAAAAACAATGAAAATACCAGCTACTACTTCACAGTAAGCAGCAAAAATCATTATATGTCTAAGGGGAATTTGAAAGCATTATATATAGTTTTATGATGTGTTGGTCTTATGTGTTACCACCAGTAGCCTTTCAATCGAACTAAAATGAGATCTAATGTATTGTAGTTGCTTCGAAGACCATTTTCCATTCACATTCTCGTCTTCCAAAATCTGGCAAATGGATTTATGTGTGCTACTTGGACTAGTAATAAATAGGGTCAAAAGAACTCAATAGAGGTGAACATTAGCAGAGAGTCAGAAGAAGATAGATTTACAGGCTTTTTTCTTTTGCAGAGTCAGAGGAATGTAGAGAGAGAGAGAGAGAGAGAGAATTTTTTTCTTCATTTTTATACATCTTAGTTTTCTGTCGTTCCACCTAATAATGTTGATTAAGCTGCAAACCAATTGCTTCTCTGTAACCCATTAAACACCCTGTAGATTCTTTACTCCCACCTTTTCCCTCTTTTTGTGATGTTGTATTTCCTTTCTCCTAAATTCTTTCATCTGTACTGTCTAGTTCTTAATTCCATCAGGATTTAGAAAAGACTATGCTTCCCAGCTGAATCCATAATGTTAGTACTGGTAATCACACATTTAAATGACATAACCTTGACTCTTCTGGAATGACAATTTCCAGTGATCAGGTTTTTCAAACCTTAAAGACTTATAACATGCATCAGAAATTGAACATAAGAAGTCCTCTTAATATGAGTACTAACAAGCTTTAGGACTGACATATATCAAGGACGAAGTATTCGGAGAACAGCTAAGTAACAAAGAGTGCTGCAGCACATGACTCTTAGTCGTCTAGCCCTTGCCAATATCTTATGTTAATCAACTGTACTGGTTGGAAGAATTCTCCCAAGCAACTGCCACATTTCATGTGACCTCCATATGCAAAGGCACTGCAAAGTCTAACATACAGAAGGAACAACAGAAAGTGCTCCAGTTCAGGCACTCGGGGTGATAATTTAAATGTCTCTTTGGAAAATGTACAGTGAAGCTTGGAACTGGGAGTCACATGATGCTCATTTATGGAAGCCCCTCCAAGTTAGTTTAACAGGCAGGAAGAAGAAGAAGAAGATGACGGTCAAGAAATAGCAACAGGTCTATTCTAACATAGAGGAGATCTATGTGGAATGCCCTTCCTTCTGCTCATGTTTGTAGCCATGTCCTCGGTATCGACTTTGTTAGCTGACCTTGAACATAGATTTATGCCACTGCGCTTCTTCCGGATGAAGTTAAGGTATGGGACATTGAAATCCTCCGAGTCCGACGAGCGCATGGGATCATCGCCTTCCACGACGGTGGAGTGTGTCGTCTCGTTCGTATCTTCGTCGTCGCCAACCTCGGTGTCAGGTGGTACGATGGAGTCGGGGCTCAATTGCAGTGATTGACATCTCCTGATGTAGTGCGAGAAATCCTTCTTGTGTCTTGCTATGTAATCTACCTACAAGGGAGGCATTTTGTGGCATGAGAAGAGATTTCGACATGATCCATTGCCATCGATGCGATCTGAGATTTGTAGTTGCACATGCGATCGCACATGAGAAGGGATTTAAGATCATCTTTCTACTATGCTACTCACCTTGCACTCCAGCGAGCAATGGATGTAAGGTTCTTGGAGGGTCCTGTCACAGGAAGTGCACACGTTTCCTGCTCCTTTGAATTGTCTGCTCTGCGGACGCTTCTTGAGGAATACTACCTTTGAACTGTTGATGGTGTAGGACTGCGATGCTCGAGTAACAGGAGAAGATGAATCAGATAAGAAACTATCATGTAGATTAGAGATACCATCACATACTATCTTTCGTGATGTGAACCTGAACGCTGGAGCAGTCGATGAGCTTGTCAAGGTCCTGCAGCCGCACAACGTCATGGTAGACGTAGCGCCGCACCTGCACCAGCCTGTGGAGGCGGTGAGACCGCAAGCAATGGGGGCAGATAGCCGTGCAACAGTCCAAACAGCAGATGTTCTTCTCGTTCTTCCTCGCGCTCTCGTGCACGGAGCAGCCGACGAAGAACTTTAGCTTGTCGAGAGCCTCCAGCCACGCCGGCTTGTGAGCTCCCTGCTGACCAACAGTGTCAAGAGATCCATCAGTTGAATCTGCCAAGTCGCAACGAATCAAATATGATGAGAGCAACACAGACCATCTTAACTTCAACAACCGAGAGCGGACTTCACAAGCCCCCGACGTGTTCTGCAGCAGGAGAAGAGGCAGAGACAGGGTGAAGGAAGGAAGATGAGATAGGGTTTTGAAGGAGGCATTTAAGGAAGATCACAAGGGTGCACAAGGTATATATATTAATGTACCATAGCGAGGGACACTATATTTTGTCAAGGGAGTGAAGGTGTTATGGAGTGGGGGGGAGCCATAAAGAAAGGAAGATATGAGGAGAACGTGGAGGCTGTTTCCATGTCTCCCTTGGCCTGTCCTTCTACAGTGGCCAAACTCTTCTTGGCCGATGAGCCATGCCCTGTAAACTAATCCAAGGGGCGCAGCAGCCCGAGGAGGTCGGTTGCTCTCGACAGTCATTTGTGCGTGGCACCTCGTGGGGCTGTGAGTCTCACCACGACGACACTGCCTCGGGCTTTGCCATGTCTAACAACTTGTTGACGTTCTGATTTCAATCACTCCTCCTTTCAAAATTGGGCTGAATTCCAATAGCCCACAGACAGGCAGAGGCGGCCCACCATCGGTTAAACAGCCGTCCTATCCATTGTTTCTGAGGCCACGGGCGCATTCCCGATAAGCCGTCGCTTAAAGTGAACATGATTTGGTGAGAGACGAGGAGAGGAGGAAGCGGCGATGGCACTCACCATCCGCCATCTCTTCTCTCCCCTGAGACACTGCGCGCTCTCCTCCAACGCCAGTCCATTCCCCTCCTGCAAGCCCATAGCCACCCCTGCCCTCACCGGCTGCAGGGCAAGGCGCGGCGACGTCTCGCTCTCCGTCGCATTCAACCCCTCCGGCAACTTCGACCTCTCTCTTACCGGAGAGGACGAGGGTGAGCTCGGTTCCTTCTGATAATGCCCGCATTTTACTGCGTTCTTTATGTATAGTCCAGCATACACCGTCTGTACCTGCTAATTTGTGGAACAACTCGAGGTAGTATCACCGGGCGAATACTCAATCCGGATTAGATATTGTTGTTATCTTCATATGTTCTTGTTTGAGTTTAATATAGCTGTTATATTTTGCATATTACCTGCTTGAAGAAAGGCTTCTTCAGCAGAACATAAAGACGTGAAGGGCACTACTACAACATGTGAATTTGGCCAAATATTATAGGAATCCGCTTCATATATTTAGGCAGAGGATTTGTAGGACTAGAACAAGCAGCTTTGTAAGATAGGATGCCATAAACTCGTACCTGATAACTTCTTTGGTTCAAGTAAAGGGCATCACAGAAGAGGACTAAAGTTCGAAGAAATAAGAATAATTATATTAAGCGACAGGGCTTTGGAGCATGTTTATGTTTCTTTATGTTTTCCGGTCTTCATGATTTTTACTCTTCAGGGCTTCGGAGCATGTTTTTGCTTTTGATCTAATGAAGTAAATTTGTTAGCTGCTAGTATGGCAAGAGGTTGTCTGGAGGCCAATGTTGGGGAACTTTGGCATTGATATGATAGTGAAAATATGCTCTGACGCGGCTGGTGTTGATGCATGACCCGATTGCTGAAATTGCTTGACAGGTTGAGACCTAGAATTTCTTTTCTTGATTTTGCCTGATCTGCACATATGGTTGGTGAATCTACAAAATTGAGTAAACTACTTTTCAGAGGATTACTTCTGAGGGAGTCGCCAAATGGCATATTTCTTAAGAAGTGCCACCCTAATTAGATGACATTTGTGATCTATTTTGGGTCGCAGGCAAAAGTTCTGAACCTGTGAGGGAAGCTAACTTCTGACCAGTATTTGTTATTCGTTTATAGGACAGGAGTATGTTGCACATACAGAGATTGAAGAAATTAACTTCATATTAGGCAGGAGACTGGTTTATGTAATTGAAGATATGGTTGAAGGTGTAGAGCAAGGATTTAGGTCTTGGATTGTTTTTCAGTAGGTCCTCATGAGTTTCAATGTGGGTAGTCTAATCAGTTTTACCAAAATTTTCCATCTAAATTCAACAAAAACCAAAGACAAAAAGAAAAAAAGATAGGAAATCAATTAAACAAAGAAATTATGTTTGCCATCTTTGCTTTTTAGTTATGCGTAGTTAATTGCTCTAGGCTAAAATTGGTATTGTATTGTCAATATTCTGTTTAAATAAAATTTATTGGACAAGCATATTTTCTAAATTATCTCTAATATCACGTGAGGTACTACTATAAAAATAATTTACTTGAAATAATTTTATTTGGATAACTTGTAGAAGCCCCAAATGCAACATATACATAACACAACAAAGCAAAATGTAGCAAGCATTCATTCAAATATTCAGGAACTTGTGAATATTACTTGAGATCTTTTAGGTATGTTGCCCTTCTGTGATATATTTGTATACTCAGCATAGGACTTTTCTGTTAGGCACGACATTTTTATTGGATAGAAAAAACAATGAATTAAACATTTTAAACATGTAAAAGGTGATACATATAAGTTACATTGAGCAGAAATTTTTAGATTGATCTTGAAGTAGAAAAACAAGAAAAAATTCAGAGGAAAATTCACCAAAATGATAAATAATTGACTAGAAAATGGAATAAGCTAGTTAAATTCTAATTTTAGCTAGTTTTAATCCTTCAGTATAATTGAAAGATGAACAAAACTGGCTGAAATCCAAAACTAGTCCTGTGTTTTAGACTGATCATAGCAGACTGATGCTAGACTATTGTTAAGTAAATTGCAACAATGGAATGTTGATAGGTACAGATTTCTATCTTTTGTTATTTCAATCTTTACAAGGAGTAGTACGAGTAAGCTGTGTCTCCATTGAAACATACAGGTTGGTTAGTGCATTATTGCATAAGTGATAGGTCTTAGGTTCGAATTCATGTGTGAATGTCATGTACGTCATTTAATGTAACAAAAATTTCTTTTAACTTTTTAAGATGAGTAGAAAGCTATAGCACCAAGGGTAAAGTTTTTAGATAGTGAAGAATTTGCCAGACATTAGAGATGCTTACCAGAGATAATTCAAATTGGATAGAGAAATGACCTTAACCATTTTGAAAAATATTCTGTTGGAATTATCTTTCTTAGTATCTGAGAAAATGGTTGTTGCTGCAGTGCGTGCCCGATGGTTGCACCAATTCCATCTTCTCTCTGTATATTTCTATGTTTTCTTAGTAAGACACAATAGATTGTTTGCATTTGGCTATACAGGTAACTCGTTATGTTCTTTCTTATCACACGTTTTAAGTAGTATGAGCACTTTGAGCTGATTTAGTTTGTGACACTTGCTTGTTCAAGGGATTCTTGGGTTTATAGTTACATTAAGATTTTGCTATGATTGTTGTTTTATAATTTGACCATAGGTGTGCCTCATGTCGAGTTTTTGTGATCAGAGGTCACGCTGATATATCTGGAAATTAACTGAATTTTGCATGTTTTGGTTCCAGCCCAGCAAGTAGCGCCTTCTCTGCCCCCAACCGAAGGGCGTTATGAAATTGTAATCAACAAAGATATTATACGACGTTTGGACCTATCACCTGTTGAAGCAATTGCAGGAAAAATCTCTTCTCTATGTGGTAAGCCAGTGAATCAAACCATCGCTTATTATTGTCAATGATTTATGTTAATGGCACCCTGCAATAAAATTTTCAGCTGAACCAAGAAAGCTTTTGGACCAAACAGTTGGTTTTACGATCAACTATGAAAGAGATGACCCTTATGACACACGTGAGTTATCAGAATTCCCTGATGTAAGGCTATGGTTTGTGAGACTTGATGCTGCTTATCCATGGTTCCCTGTGGTTCTGGATTGGAGAGCTGGAGAGCTTGCTCGGTATGCAGCAATGCTAGTTCCTCATCAGGTATGAAATGTTTATATGAAAAGTATTCCTTTAGATTCAATTTACGATTCCTATGTTCTTGAAAAGAAAGCTGTCTCAGTCTTCTTTAGAACTTGCAACATTTTATTCCACTGTATAGAATGAGTATCATTTGACTCTGACTGTTTGGTTGGAAATGCATGACAGATAAGTATGAGACTGGGCATTGTGTTCAATCCAGAAGCCCTCGAGTTGTTTGTACTAAACAAGGCTTTCACTGTGTATTCGTGGTTGAAACAACAAAAGTTTCCAAAGCCTAAACTGAAGACCCGTGACATGGCAAGAATGCTTGGATTCGGTCTGGAAGATTCATTGTTTGACTTGATCGATCAACATCCTCTTCACCCTTCATAAACTTGCAAGTGTAAGCCTTAAGGTGATGATATATTAGATCTTGATGATGAATTGTTGAGTTACCTTCACTAGATCTTCAAAACACTGGTGGCCGAGAAAGTGGAAGATCTGATCGAACCATTCCACGAGATGGCAAGTTTACATTCTCTTACAATGAAACTAGTGAATCTGTACATTTGCATATAAACTGTTAGATCTCTCTGCATGTTTAGGAGAAAGGTTTGATGTCAGTGACAGTGTAAATGCAGACAGATGCCGCATACTGTGTTCTGTCATGTTCTGACTTTACTGAACATAATAAATAAGTCATATTTGTAATTAGAACTACAAAGTGACAGATACACATATTTTTATTAATAATTGCTTGCAGAAAGGCATGAGTTGGAGCGTTCATGTATGTTGTGGAATGATCAAGCATGACATCTCTCACATTTTCAACAATAAATTTTCAAAAAATAATGAAAACAGATTATTAGGGGGAAATCTAAATTATGATGTAAGAATATCTTCATGCTGTTCATAGCAGGAACAACTCGACTGGTCTGAAAATTCATTTAAAGATATGCATACATATGACTACATATAGCTACATGTTAGCAGTGAACGTAAGTTTAATTGACCAAAAAGAGAACAACTCGACAGTCGGTATCATCATCTTGCTGCCATCATGATGCATGCATGCATATTGTCTGCATTTACTTGCACTGACAATTCCACTGGCTTTGTTGCACCCTCAAAGAGTACCATGCCATAACTCACATCCCCACCCATGCCGCATCACCGCAACCATCCACAGATAGGTTGACCAAGCACATGTCAAGCCGGTGGAGAGCACATGAGCCCACACCTCATGGAGTCCATCCAACCCTTTGCAATCAAGACAGAGGAACACAGAAACACACGGATCCATTAGATGCCCCTTAGATAATTCACCTCTTCCCCGAAGGACACAATGCCTCGATTAACTTGTTGCCAGTCTTTTAAGGACATAAGCCATCACATCTCCAACTCTCCTCGCAAAGGCACACACACATGGGACAAACCTCTCCCCATCTCTGTCCCTCCCTCCGTGTATCAGATCCAATCACTGCTTGCAAATGTGATCATCAAATGCTCATTCATGAAGTTGATAAATATAACGATGATGCATACTTTTTAGTAGTATCTACACAAAATGGGACCTAAGCCAAGAAAACTGCAGCATTTCCTGCAATGCTGCTGTCCGATCTCTCTCCTACTCTACCCACCTAAGCTGTTGGTATTGGTTTGTTCCTGCTAACGTTTCAGTTGTGGATTGGAGGCTTTCTCTTTGCAGGAGAATAGTCCATTCCCGCTATGTCCAGGATGTCGGGGTAGGTCGGCGGTCGCTTCGAAGCAGGCGGCGCCGTGTGGGTGTCGTCTTGGCTCCTATCGGCTTCATCCTTGGAATGTTTCTGATTGTTCTGTGCACTGTCGGCTCCCACGTCGTTGCTCTTACCGCTCTGTGAAAGACCATAGGAGGATGCATGTCAGCGGATGCTGCAGAAACACTCGGTGTTTGTTTGACGCTATCTATAGAATACCAACCTTAGAGGTGGCCATCGCATTGGTCATGAGTTTCCTGCTCTTTCCTGCAACAGCGGATAAAGGGAGACCAACTTTAGAGTCTAGATTAATAACTAGAACAAGCTGAAACCTGCCGACAAATCATGTCATTCTCTGATGTTTAGATGCGTTCAGTGTTGATACTGAGCTAGGAAGCAAAACTGAAAGACTAGAACTGTTTGATAATTAATGTTATCTCGGAAAAACATGATTCCGGTATAGAATCATTTGGCTGCATATTCGTGGTCATGCCAGTTTGTAAGGAACTCGATATACAATAGGTCATGAAGTAGTATAAAGGAAGTAATCTTCATGAAATCATGGATGGACTTCTCCAACTTTTCTTACCTGAGAGATCCCCTTGTGATCCCCGTCGGAGCAGTTCTCCTGGAACCCCGCTCTCTTCTTCTTCTGCTTCTTTCATCAAACTCTCTTTCTCCTGGTATCAACATGCAATACAACAGTGTCAGTGAACCGGAAGTAATCAGAAATGCCACAGTGGACGCAGTACCGAGAAGCCACTGACATGGACTTGGCGGTGCAGGGGAGCCAGTGACTCTTCTTCCAACACTCTGGTCCCTGAACAAGAGAAACAAACGCGAAGGTCAGCCACGCTAGGCTCTGGTGAAAGATGAATACCTTCTTGGTTCGGATGACAGGGTTGAGGCTCTGAAGGTACCTTGAGATCTGTTAGCCGATAGTAGTAGAACCAGGAAAAGAAGAAACATCACTGACACCGCAGGCTTCATTGGAAGGAGGTTTGCTCCTAGGAGGACTATACGAGAAGAGAAGATACGTACACGTTTGGGGTACGACTTGGAGATCTGAGCTATCTCCTCTTCTATATGCGGGATGTGGAAGGAGAGAAGTAAGTGGCTAGGGAATGAGTGTCTAAATCTTTCTGACACTTGTAATATATATACACACAGACCTCACTGTTCCATACCTGAGATGAAATGTGTGAAAAGTCCAAACACCAATATCTTTCTCAACAAATAAACTATCATGATTGACAATTTATGCCATGCTTTCTTATTCTATGTTGTAACTGTCACTCATTAAGGAAGGATGTTCCCCAAAAAATTTGGACTTTGTTCATGCTCATTATTGTCATCGCAAACTAGTCAGATCACATATGTTAAGGTAAGAACGGAATGTGTTTTCTTATGGTTCCTGCAAATTTAACAGGTTTCATATTGGACCCACCCTACTCGTTAAAGGCTTGACCATGAAACAAACATTCATTTGGAAGAGCTAATCGATTGTGAAGATTGGAATGGATTGAAGTGTTGGATTAAACGAGCTTTTGGTTCATTGCGGGCAACACGAAGCCGGCGTTTAGTGTTTGTCAGGTTGAGGTCACCTGAGGGCGGGCCCGAGGCCACGAGGACGTCCATGTCGAGGACGGGACCCGGGAGGCCGGAGGCCCCCAGAGAGACGGCGCCACGTGTCCAGCGGCTGCTCATGTTGCATGTCTGTGCTTTGGGCGGCACCACGACAACGTGGTGGCGACGCTGTTGGTGATAGAAAGGTGCAGCTCCCCTCGGCATACAAGGACAGGTCTCCCCCCTCCCTTCCCCCATCTTGTGTGTACCAACTAGTACTTACAAATGGAGCTGTTTCTTCTTGGAATTGGTTGCACCTCCATGCGACTGTGTCAATACTACACCACCACGGTGGTAAATAAGTTCCGACGATGGTAGAGAAGCAGACGTGAAGCCCACATGACACATACTGCGACGACGAGTGCTCGACTACGTTTAGGTCACAACCAGAGATGGTTTGGCAGGATGGACGCTATCAATGCCGGCAGCGATCTGTGGCCCTACATCATGTCATTTCAGAACATGGGGCGCCGTTTGTTCCGGCCACCTCGTGCATCATCCATCTCATTGACGACCCCAGTGGCGATCACGATTCTATCATACACGATGAAAAGATGAATCACACTGTTCCTTACAGCACATCATATTTATGTATTTTAATTATGGTTTGTGCACTTGTCGATCCAATTAGTCAATCTTATTTAAATATGCATGGACACCACAGACAGAGAGTTTATGTGAATTATGTAGTTTACATCAATTAGGAAGCTACTTGTTGTGACAAAATGACAAGGCTTCTTAAATATATGGATGGAGAATGTTTCTGTGGCATCATCAGCATATTGACTAAACAATTAATGGAACGCATACTCCTAACCAACAGCTACACAAAATGTTGATAGGATGAGAGAGGGTGCCAAAATTTGACACGACCAAAAACGCTATCCATGAAACTGTATGGTATTATACATAGTGAGCAAAAGGTTTCGTCTTTAACAAGCCATGATAAGGATGATATTTCTCCATAGAGTGACAATAAGAAAAATTTTATGAGTTGATTATGAATCAACCATAGGTGTGGTATGCCATGCACTCTCGAGTACTAATCGTACCCCTTCGAGCTAAGCACCGAGCAATTGCTGGGCAAAGGTCATACATCGACGACTAGAGACACGAAACTTTTTCTCATCGAGACAAGTCCTCTTGCTTTCCGAGAAGGAAAGGATTCGGTGAGGGGATTTGCCTGTACGAACTGGCCGACATGCCATGCTTTTGAGGATGAAACGAAGGGCTTTGGCATCTGACCACGCCTTCCCCTTGTGGTGCCGGGAGTCAAAGATCCTCCTTTCGAGATCCTTCACCCCAATCTCCTTTCGACTCGGTACTTCCGAGGGCTCCCACGCTCAAGTTCCAAAGATTTGGGTAGTCCTCGGAACAAGTGTTCCATGTCACTCACTCATCTCTGCGCTCAGTCTGGAGCTGCTTGCTGTGTTCAACTCCTATGTGTTGGTCTTCCTAGGTCCTGCACACTGTGTACCTCTTTCTTGTAGTGCTTGTCCTCGTAGCTTTGGTTTGTGTTCCCTCCCACACGAGTTCCAAGTCTCCATGCACTCATGTATATGCAAGTGTTCGAATCTATGCCGAACCCAGGAACACCTGGATCCGTCTATCAAGCAGAGCACTTATGTTTCTGCGCCATATCTGGGTCGGCTGCATGTTTAACTAAGGACTGCATGATGTAAAACCATTACAGAAAGAAGTGATTTCTTACAGCAAAGTTGTTCACAGAGCTTGATATCAGAGAACTGACGATAAAGATGCAGAAGAGAAGAGAAATAGCAGTTGCATATTGTTTTCTGTTCACCGACCCTTTGAAATTTGAGCTCAAGGCTTCATCGAGGCCGCACCAAATGCCAAGAGGAGTACAGATGGGAAGCAGAGCAACAACATGCTTGTCGGAAGCATGTTCGAACCTTGGATATCCTTGTCTGATTGCTGACACCGACTCATGTTTCTGTGTCCTTTAAGAGACTCCCATAACGCTGCAATCATCAACAGACGGTGCTGTTGGGCTGCTCGAGCTTGATGATGTTTGTGTGATCTTTAACAGATCTAATGTCGATGAGAGCGGTCAAGGAAAACGGTAAAAGGCAAAGGAATAGATCGAGGGATGGGAGGTCTCGCAACTTTGTCAGCACAAACCAGAGTCCAGCCAAGAACATTGCCAGATCGAAACAAAAGCTGCCGCTTCGTGTCAATTGCCTTTTGCCCTTGGCTTTTTAGCATGCAACCAAATACCGAGTATGGTGGATAGCCAGCCTCTGGTTGTCGAGCCATGGCGCTCGAGGTCCCCATCCCTCGCAGTTCTTCTTCCTAACGTCTCTCCGTGTTGCGCTCTTCCTCCCTTGCCGCCTTCCCTACTTTTTCCCATCGTTCACATGGGGTTGATGGATTCCCAGCGGAGGCAATTTGCGATGGTCCCCCATAATTGTCCGCGTAGTGTTCGGGAAAATGTCCTCTCGGATTCGGACCAACTTGACAATTTGACGAGAGGACGAGTGGCTTTGCCGTGTGACTTCTCCATCCGGAATGGGAGGTATTGTAACTTACAATTATTCTATTTTACTAAACTATTATGATGCGAAAAAATATATATTAAATATATTTTACAATATTCTTATGCACTTCTTCAATTCGAATGAACTAATAATAATCATGATTACTCTTATTTGCAGGGATATATATATATGCTGTATAATCATAGATATATTGATTCCAAACTTTTCTATGGTATATATGTAAGCCCAATGTTGAACATTAGAATTTGATTCCCGTAGCGTTGTCGGCTCGACGTGAGAGAACGGACTGGGCCCAGTTAATTGGATTAGGTGGTTGGCCCAAAATAAGCTGAATGATCAAAAGCGTGTGCCCATTGAGTTCGACGGCGACAGACACCGAAGACTTTAAATTGGACTCGAACTAGGTTTTGACTGTACTTTATATGATTTATGAGGCTATATATGTGCGTTTATGTTCAATTTATATAATGAATCTCATGTTTTCAAGGAAATATCATTGTGTTTGTGGTTTCCATTAATTATCCAATCTCTCAATCAAATAAGGAAGATACAATAATGTGTAATGCTAAAGGAAAGGTATGTGCCAAAATAAATAGATGAATAAAATATACATCAAATCAAGGTATTAAAAAACACTCATTAAGAAATAGTTTTCGTTATATCACGATTACCTTAATGAGTTAATTGATCTATCCATTTTATTTTGCCTAAGTCACTGATTAAAATATATTATGTAACCTAATGGTGACTTCACGTAATGATAAATCATCTAACTTCATTCATGAATAGTTCTTATATGCTTGAGTCTTTCAGTAAATAATATATTAATTTTTTTAATCTAAATTATTGATTAAAATACTTAAAACTGAAATTGATAATAAGGAACTTATGAAATCCTTTTACATCCCAAACTATAGAAAATACAACAAATATCAAATTACAGGTAATTAACTCCTTATAGTGGACTGCCACTTCATTGCTCATCTACTCCATGGATCAGATGTACGGATAATAATTTTTTACTCTTTTTTTTTTTCATTTTGAACACTAATTTTTCTGTAGAAAAGTCAATTAAAATCATAAGCTAATCAGAAAAACCTTCTCGCCCCTAATATTTTAGGTGGCGATATTGGAAAATAACACGTAATCCACTTAGCTCACACATCAATAAGATTTTAGTCCCATAAGATCCACAATATGATATCGAAAGCTAACTCTTCTGTAACAAGGGTAATATGTTCAATCAAAGCTGATAGTCATAATTTTATCCTGTTATTATTCCATAATCAAAGCTTTATATTTCGACATATGATTCGATAACTCAATGAGGCCAAATAATTCGTGTAATTATTTTTAATATTTGCCTAACTTATTATAAAAGCATCATCAGGTGCATCATCAGAAAAAAGAACTCTCATATTATCTATTATAATATATATGAATTATTTGACAGTAGTTTTTATGTGCATGTCATGTGTATATGTGTGTAGGAATAGATATATGTGTATGTCATTGGATTTTTGAGTGGAAAGAAAAAGTTTTCCAACCACATATAACTTGTTTCACTCTTAACCATACGTCCGCTATAAGTGTTGATCATATCTCGTAATAACTTCATTGGAAGTCCTCAATCGGAGTCCAGATCCGACCCGCGAATTCAAACCCGGGTTCGGGCAGAGAAGCGGACCCGATTGGTGACTTCCTTCTGCTCCCAACGCCGTATAAATTTCAAGTCGGGCATTTAGGGCTTGACTTGGTGCCGCGAAGTTCTCCTCGTTCCTTTCCGCCGGCTTATCGCCCTTGACCCCTGAAGGCCAGCTCGTCGACCTCCTTCGCTTTCTCGGCCATGGCGGAACAGGTGGGATCACATATCGTTTGATTCTCTTCCTTCGTCTCTTCGATAGGTTTTCTTTTTTCCTTATTCTTTTAACAATTTCTCTTTTCTTTGGGAGCATTTTTTCCCCGAGTTTAAAGCGCCTTTATATGCCTAGTAGATTTGGATTCTGTCGATCTTGAGAAAACCCTAAAGGTAGAGTCGAAGGTTCCAGATTCATCGGATTTCGCTGTGGAATCGATGTTTTATTACTTTTACAGTTAATTGTTAGAATCGTTTGCGAGAGTGTGATGTCTGCGTTTGGAACTAGGTTAACAATCTTGGTGTCTTGCCACGAGTTTTGTCTTTTTTACCTGATGCTAATGGTTTATTTCGATTTCGTATCCTGTTATGCAGACGGAGAAGGCATTCCTTAAGCAGCCAAAGGTGTTCCTTTGGTAAGAAAACTTTCACACAGTAAATTCTTGAGTTAGTGCTCAAATGGAGTTGTAATGGTTACTGTACAGCCCAAAGAAACCTGGTAAGGGAAAGAGACCTGGTAAGGGCGGCAACAGATTCTGGAAGAGTATTGGGCTTGGGTTTAAGACTCCAAGAGAGGCCATTGAAGGTCTAAGATCTAATACCAATTTCTTCCCCTGCTTCAATTCAGTATTTTTTTTTCACACTTGTTATTTTAATGTTCGTTTGAATCTGAGTGACTTAGTTTTAGAGTTTAGACAAATGCCTCGTATGGTTGCAGACCATCTTGGTTATCATCATGGAAGCAATTGCTGCACTCAGGAGTATTAAGTGACAATTAACCTCGTTGACAAATTTATTATATTTCTGATGTTGTGCATGTTGTT